TAGATTCAAGAAGGCGGATGAAGCTCCTCTTCTCTTTACTAAGGCATCATCCTTCATTCGCTTTAAAACAATTTTCTTATCATTTAAGAAGAATGAATAGGTTTCCTTGTCACCATGATGGATAATTTTCCGATCACATTGCCAAGAAGATGTTGCACACATCCAAGGGGACCATATCATACCACACAATTCTTCAAAGAAAGTTCCAATTGAGAAAGTAACAAGGCATTTGAAGAGACAAGTACCTCGTGCCCTTGTTGAATCAAAGAATGTGCTAAACTTGTGGGTTCTTCACAATCTTGAGTTTGAGTTTGTCTACCAGCTCTTGAGCCACCATATATTTGCTGCTCTCACTATCAATGACATGAGTACTAAATTTTCTTGCAACTGTACAGAGGGTTTTTAAAATATTTTTATGGAGCCAATCATAGCTTGTTTAGACCAGCAGTGCCAGTATAGATCATCGGATGACAAGTGTTTCACCAATCATGTCACCCTCAAGTCCTTCCTCTTTAATATCAGTAGACTCGTGAACTTCTTCAAACCGAATTTCACCTTCCATGGTGCCAAATTCTCTTCAATTCCTACATCATGGTCTTCCGCTAGATTGACTTGAACTTCATTCTCCTTCTTGGACAACCATTCAATGTATGTCCAGATTCCAAACACCTAAAGTATTTAATTCTCCCTTGTACACTGCATCTACCTTGACCCCCTCTCCCATAATTAGGATTTGCTTGGTTGTTAGGACTTGTAGGGGCTGCTGCCTGCCCATCATGGATGATATTATTTCCACAACTACATAACACTACCATTGCGATCATTCCCAATCTACTTAGGGGCTCCACAGGTGAGTTGGGCTTCCACCTTTCAGGCAAGTTGATATGCATCACTTACTTTATAGAGTCGATGCAGTCCTACCTGATCCTGATCTTGATTCGCCAATCATAGACCATTCACATACTGGCTGACTGATTGGGCTTCACTCTTGGCCACATTACTCCTTAATGTGAGTTGATGGAATTCTTGAGTATACTCCTTCACGGTCTTCTCCCGCTAACGCAGATTTTGTACCTTTTGATACAAAATCTGCTCATAGTCTACAGGCAGAAATTGATTCTACAATTTGCCCTCATCTTATCCCATCTTTTAATCCTTTCCCTTACCTCTAATTTCGCAATCATGTTGATGATGCTTCCACCAAAAAAAAGCTCAACATCTTTCTTGGCTCCAACAAGTTTGACTTTTCTCTCTTCTAGGACCTTTTTCCAAACAAAATAATGTTCAATATGATCCACCCAGTCTTGAAACTCCTCAGCTTCCATTTCCCCATCAAACTCTGAAATTGGAACATGAACACCATACTCTTCGTTATTTTGCAGAGCACTTACAATGCGATCTTCCCATCGTTCTGCTCTCTCATTCTGCCTGTTAGACCTATCAGATACTGCCCTACTTTTATGGCTAGAGCTATCATTTCTTCTTTGGGCAAAAGGGATCCAAATTAATCATTACCCCTCTTAAAACGAACAAGGCATCTATCACTTCCATTTTCACAATCATTGCCCATCACATTCATAACCACTGGGTAAGCTACTGGATTTCTTCTTCCATCCCTTGAAAGATCTCAAGAGTCACTGCATTCACGGCATTCCTGCCCCTTCGGCGACGATTCCCATGTGCACCCCTTGCAGCCATCAGTAGGACAAATAAAGTGCCCAAAGGAAAAAAAGGAAAAGTGAACAGCTATAGGGAACAAACTTGCTCTGATACCACTTGATGGAAATCGAGGGCAAGAGCAATATAAACAAAAAGAAAATATGCAAGACTACTAGTATGGGTACTTAGAAAATCCTCAAAACAAAAGGATCCCTCAATTTCTAAATTTAAATTACATGAATCCTCAAAAGTGAATCCTTGTTGGAAAAGGGGAATAGCAGTTGACCAAAGGAAACGTTTGGTCCTCGAGCGCTGATTCACTGTAACAAGGTGATTGGGGATGATCCAAAGCTTCAAGCTTAAATGGCCTCATTTCCAACCTCTCAAACCCTAGCTAGAGGGGACTTTGCTCTCAAAGTAATCTTCTCAAACCAAAAGTCCCCCTTTCTCCCTTGAAATTAGAATTTAAAACAGCCCAAAGAAACCCTAAGAGCTCCAACGAATCATAGCTCTTCAATTAATCTAATCTCAACCATTAAATCCAACTTAAGTTCAAAGATTGCTAAATACCAAATATAACCCCTCAAATAAAAGTAAATCCCAAAAAAGTCCAAATAATATCAAATATAACCCTTAATAATAAATCCCTAAAGGTCCAAAACAATTCTAAATCCCTCCGAACACTAAACAACTGAAAAGAAAGTATTTAAACATCAAGCCAAATAAAAAATTAAAAAGAAAGCAAAGAATAGGAATGTTAGGCCGCCCTCTCGGGTTCTCAAGCCAACTTCTTTTTTTCGTCAAATTCCGTAATATGCACAATGCTTTTCCATGCTCTAGATTAGTGGAGCATTAAGGGAACAGCGCGAATCCTCTATGCCGTACTTCCTCTTATTACCTCCCGCCAATGGTAATATTCTTGCATGGCAAACCTCCTCCACCTGCCCAGGGCCATTTTGCCTGTTTTAGATCCCTAAGCCTCCAAAATTTGGGTCTACACAGCTCCCAAGTCAATCATGGCAATCACAGTAAAACCAACATAGATAACCTCGATAAAATAAGGCCCAGCTTGGCCAAAGTTGAGGTGTACTGTTATTGCAAAAAAGCTTCCACTTTGGCAAGGTAACCACTTTAGCCTGAAAGGAATAAGTCCAGACACTTAAATTTTAATAACTTTCTTTTCGACCGCAGGTACAAGTGGATCATTAATTTCAAATCCTGCTTGCACATTAGGCATCTGTTTAGGATAACAATGCCTTGGTCCATGAGGTGCCCAATTCCCGCTCAATGATGTATCCTAATACCAGGTTTTCCATTGTTCCAAACAATAGTTATAGCCTTATAGGAAGCATCAAGGGAAGCTCTGCGGGAGTAGGTGAATAGACCTTTTTCATTATAAATTGCCTTGGATGCAAGATGTCAACGTTGGTATAACAATCACATCCTATAGGACAGTAAGAGAATATCCAAATACTATTTACATCTCTTACAATACCTTACAGAACCCTAATGAAAATGCAAATGGCACAATGTCATACCATTGGAGATACATAACCTCCTTGACACTCATCTCAAGCTGGAGAGAAGAATCATAATTGATGTGGAGCAAAAGAAAAACATGTCATCCCTGTGATAGAAGATTGGTAAGGATATATGCTAAGATGGGTCGTCATGGTACCATATTCTACTTTTGTCTAATGTTAATGACATCTATTTCTGTTCTTTCTCCTATCATGGTATACTGGATTTCAGGATAAATGAAGAGCAGTTTTGATATTGCAAAATAATTCAACTGCTTCATCAGCTTAGCCCCTAAATCATTTAAAATAAGCCAAACTATCTCATAGGTAGCTTTGACTATGGTACCCATAGTGTGCTAAGGTTTTACAGGTGATTCCCTCATCAAGTGTCTCAAGAGGATTTAATCGGTGATATTTACAACCCACACTGCAAGTGCTTCTTGAGAGTGTACTGTGTACATGTGGTGTTTGTGATTAATGCCGAACTGTCACAAGAAGCCCATGATTTCCCTAAGTACACTAGATAGATAGATAGAGAGAGAGAGAGAGAGAGAGAGAGAGAGAGAGACGTAC